TGTTGAGGGGAATTCACTATTATTCACATCAAAAAAAAGTAAACTCATTCCCTAAAGCAAGGTGGGCACAAAGGTTGGCCACACAATTGCTATTCCTATGTGTATATTGAAAAAGAACCTGTTTAAACTCCTGAAGAAAAGTTGCATCCGGTCCTTCCACCCTACGATGGATCACATTCCGGCGATCGTTCAGCCTCTGCAGCCACCTTATTGCATTAATACAATCTCCTTCTATAATGATTCCATCCAGCTCAAACATCCAATCCATGAAAATCTCACGGATTGCCATTGCTGCCAACATTTCTGCCTGCAAAACATCCCAGTGTTCGATCCTTCTCCCCGCAGCAACAACCAATTTCCCATACTGATTCCGAGCTATAACACCCAAGCCAACCTGATTAGAGGGAAGTAGTGCTGCATCAAAATTAAACTTCAGCCAACCTGGAGGGGGAGGGCACCAAAGATTGTGAGACGGCAACCCGTTGCTCCAGCATTGGCCATTTAAAAGGTTTTGGCAGCAAAGAAAGCACCGCAGCAACAATAACAGAAGGAAATCTACACATATTATGGTGCTTCATATCATTCCGGGCTCTCCAAACTTGATATACTGTATAACAGTAAATCCTTCCCATGCTAGGATTATTCTCAGCATACTTCAGCAATTCAACCTCTAGATCCACCAGGGAATTAACAATAGGCAAATTAAACCCCCATTTGCAAAGAATTTCCATCACCTGCTTCAACTTAGTGCACCTGGCCGAGCAATGATCTAAATTCTCCTCTTCATTACATCCCCACGGGCATAGAGATGTATCAACTAAAGTTCTTCTATTCAACCAGTGAGTGGTTGGAATGGCATCCCTCAATAGTCTCCACCAAAAGAAATGTTCCCGTGTGTGCAGTTTCAGTTGCTTCAACCAACTGAATTCATAGTTCCCTTTCTCCTCACCATCTCTATAAGCCATTGCCATAACTGTCATACTCAACCTGGAATAAATGAGCTCCGGGTAATCCTCCTGACTCTTAGTGGAGATATTAATGTCTAAGATACGTTCAGCCATAGTATTCCCAAAATAATGCTTAACCATCTCAACATTCCACTGAAACGAGTTATTCAGCAAGTTACAGACCTTCATATTTTCCACTTCTTTAATGTTAACAAATGTTAACCACTTAGCAATATTACGATTCATAATCCACACATCATGCATCACATCAATTTGGCTTCCATCCACAATGTTCCACTTGAGAATTGGTCTTAACACCTTAGCACCATCTTGGATCACCTTCCAAGTAACAGAGAATTTCTTCCCATGATCATATTCCCATATCTTCATACCATACCTTGCCACCAACACCTTGTAAAGAATAGAATCCTTATTCTGAATGAGATCCCACACTACCCGTGCACGCAAGGCCCCCTTCCACCGAGTAAGACAGTGAAAGCCAAGCCCCCCAAACTCCGTCGGTTGGCACAATTCCTTCCACCCAACATAATGCATCCCACGGCTGCTAGCATCTTTCTGCCATAAAAACCGCCTCCCCATTTTTTCAATAGCCATAAGAACTCCATTAGGAATAGAAATATGGGTCATAGCATACATAGGAACAGATAACAATGAAGTTCTAATCAAGAGAGCCCTGCCAGCAAGTGAAAGATGTTTTCTGCCCCAGAGGTTGATCTTCTCAAATGCAATTCTCAAAATTTTGGAGAAATCAGCCCCATTCAGCCTCCTCATGATAAGAGGAAGGCCAAGATATTCCAGTGAATCAACCTTTTTATATCCCATCTTTCTAGCAATCATCCCCTTCCTCCAACTTGGGCACTTTCTGTTAAAAAGAATAGCAGACTTGCCACAATTAATCTTCCGTCCAGTCCAGCAACAATAGTCTCCCAATATATTTATAATCCAACGGGCATTGCACCTGCTGGCTTCTGCAAAAACAAGGATATCATCAGCGTACAGCAAGTGAGAAATACTTACTGTGTTCCTAGCCACCTGGACTCCAAGCTGCACTCCACGCTGTTTAAAAGATTTGGACAGAAGCTCAGAGCAAAGGATAAACAAATACGGCGACAAGGGACATCCTTGTCGCAGCCCACTCTTAGCATCAATCCACCTTGTCCTGTTCCCATTCATCAGTGAACTTTGGCTGAAAAATACACTGCATAACCCAAGTGATAAATCACTTCTTGAAGCCCATCAAATTCATAACTTCCTACAGTGTTTCCCATGACATACAATCGTACGACTGCTCCATACAATCTTCAAAGCCATAAGTCCAGATTTCTGGTTAGAGTACTTAAACTTACTCATCATTTCCTGTGCCATCAGCCCATGACTGGATATAGATCGACCTGGAACAAAAGCCCCCTGCTCATCACTGATGATAGTACTCAGCACAGGTTTTAGGCGATTAATAAATACTTTAGCAACATTCTTATAAAATGATTGACATAAACTTATCGGCCTAAACTTTGATGGCATATTAGCATTCTCCATTTTTGGAATTAACACCACAAGGGTTTCCTTCCAACTCTGGCACATCACATTAGTGGCAAAAAAATGCAGAATAGCACTAATCATGTCTTTCTTTATAATCTCCCAAAAATTTTCAAAAAGGATGAGGTTATACCGTCAATCCCTGGCGCTCTGTTACTGCCCATACTAAACACAGCTTGACGGATAAAGAGAGAAAGAGGGAGAAAGAGAGGGAGAGAGAGAGAGCAAGAGAGAGCGAGCGAGAGATAGAGAGAGAGAGAGAGCAAGAAAGAGCAAGGGAGAGCAAGAAAGAGAGTGGGAGAGAGAGAGTGTGTGTGTGTGTGTGTGTGAGAGAGAGAGAGAGAGAGAGAGAGAGAGAGCAAGTGAGAGCAAGCTAGAGAAAGAATAAGTGAGATCAAGAGAGATAGAGAGAGAAAGAGAGAGAAAGAGTGAGTGAGAGAGAGAGTGAGCGAGAGAGAGAAAGAGAGAAAGAGAGCAAGAGAGAGAGAAAGAGAGAGAGGGAGAGAGCAAGAGAGAGAGGAAGAAAGAGAGAGAGATAGATACATAGAGAGAGAGAGCAAGAAAGAGCAAGGGAGTGCAAGAGAGAGGGAGAGAGAGTGAGGAAGAGAGTGAGAGAGAGGGGGGAGAGAGAGAGAGAGAGATAGAGAGAGAGGGGGAGAGAGAGAGAGGGGGAGAGAGAGGGAGAGAGAGGGAGAAAGAGAGAGAGAGAGAGAGAGAGAGAGAGAGCAAGAAAGAGCAAGGGAGTGCAAGAGAGAGAGGGAGAGAAAGAGAGAGAGCAAGTGAGAGCAAGCTATAGAAAGATCAAGCTAGAGAAAGAACAAGAGAGAGCAAGATAGAGCAAGAGAGAGCAAGGGAGAGAGCAAGAGAGAGAGAGGGAGAGAGAGAGAAGAGAGATAGAGAGAGAGTGTGAGTGAGAGAGAGGGAGCTGAACTTAGTGAGAGAGAGAGAGGGAGAGAGAGAGCAAGGGAGCGCAAGAGAGAGAGAGGGAGACAGACAGAGAGAGTGAGAGAGAGAGAGCAAGTGAGAGCAAGCTAGAGAAAGAACAAGAAAGAGTAAGAGAGAGCAAGGGAGAGAGCAATAGAGAGATAGAGATAGAGAGAGAGAGTGGGAGAGAGAGAGAAAGAGTGAGAGAGAGATAGAGAAAGAGAAATCAAGAAAGGG